AGCCTGGAGCCTGCTTCGGATTCTGTGTCTCCCTCTCTCTCTGACCCTCCCCTGCTCACCCTGTCTCTCTCTCTCCTAGAAATAAATAAAAAAATATTTAAAAAAAAAAAAAAAAAAAAAAAGAGCAAGAGTTGGATGCTTAACCACCTGAGCCACCCAGGCACCCCAAGGAAAGCTTTTTTAGGATGAGTAAGGCAGTCCTGCTCGACCTTGGCTGCACCATGGCATTATCTGGGGTGCTCTGCAAAAGGCTGATGCCTTGGCCGCCTCCCCTCCCACCCGGAGATCCTAACTAGTCTGCAGTGTGGTAGCATAATTCCAATTTGTAGCAGAGCTGAGAGCTTCCGAAGTGCAGGAAGAGAGTCATCACTACCATCCATCCGTACCTCCCATATGCCAGGCAGCTGCCCCATTGCCACAGGCCTGGCACATTGTCACAAATCTTACCCCCAGTTCCTCAAGCTAGAGCTCATTCGTATTTACAGAAGGCGATCTGAGACTCAGAAATGTAAAGGAAACCACCTACAGAGCAGAGCCAGGAAATGATAAAGCTAGACAATGACCAGTGTGGACCCAGGCCTTCCCTCTCCAGGCCTGGTACTTTGGGAACCCCACGAAGCCTCCCCCAGCAGGGGGGAGTCTTTCTCTTGGAGACTTTGAGATCCACCGTTTGGCTTGTGTATCACTGAATCAGAATGTTACCAGCTCCGTGTTCCCTGTTCCCTTTGTGAAAATTAAACGAATACCTCTGGTTTGCTTCAGGCCACCCCCTCACCGGCATTTCCAACCAAAGGGATTCCTGAGGGAAACAGCTGTTACTGAAAGGAACTTCAGAGAAGAGAGGGCTGTTTTTGCTACTGCCTGAGGAGACCTTGCTAGAAACTACCACCCAGGGGGGGCAGCTGTAACACCCGGCCCCGCCTTCTGAACTTGCTGTTGTCGTGTGTAAAAGTTCTCTTGAGGGGCGCCTGGGTGGCTTAGTCGGTTAAGCGTCCGACTTTCGCTTAGGTCATGATCTCGCGGTTTGTGGGTTCGGGCCCCGCGCCGGGCTCTGTGCTGACTGCCAGCTCAGAGCCTGGAGCCTGTTTCAGTCTGTGACTCCCTCTCTCTCTGACCCTCCCCTGCTCACGCTGTCTCTCTCTCTCTCTCCTAGAAATAAATAAAACATTAAAAAAAAAAAGTTCTCTCGAGACGCCTAGATTTCAGAGACTATAATTTTATCCCGTGGGATGTAACTTAGATCTCTTCATTGGTTGTCCCGAGTTTTATTAAACTGATATCCCGGGGCACCTGGGTGGCTCGGCTGGTTAAGCGTCTGACTTTGGCTCAGGTCGTGATTTCGTGGTTCCGTGAGTTCGAGTCCCACATCGGGCTCTCTGCTGAGCCACCCGGGCGCCCCAAGCATCAAACTCTTGATTTCGGTTCAGGTGGTGATCTCACAGTTCGTGGGTTCAAGCCCTGGGTCAGGCTCTGCACTGACAGCATGGAGCCTGTTTGAGATTCTCTGTCTCTCCTTCTCTCTCTGCCCCCTCCCCTGCTCTGTCTCTGTCTCTCTCAAAATAAATATTACCAAAAAATAGTCAGGACAGGGGTGTCTAGCTGACTCAGTTGGTAGAGTACATGACTTTTGACCTCAGGGTTGTGAGTTCGAGCGCCATGTTGTGGGTAGAAATTACTTTAAAAATAATATAAAATAACAGCTAACACTTTCACCGTCCTTCTGAAGCACTGTGCCAAGCATTTTATATATAGAGACATATGCAATCCTCACAACAACCCTTTGAGATAGGTTCCATTATTTCCCCCATTTTACAGTTGAGGAAACTGAGGCACTGAAAGGGCAAGTAACACCCAAAGCTGACAAAGTTCACACAACTGGGAAGTGGGGAGTCAGGACCATAAACTCAGGCAGGATGGCTCCAGAGTCCCCTCACTTACCCCACCACACCACACACTGCCATAATCTCACACTAAATTATATTTTTTAATTGCCATATGTGTATTATGTCAACATTCAGAGTTCTGCAAACCACGCCCACGGGTCCAGGGCTCTTCGCTGCTATAGAAGGAACATCCTGGATTGGGGTGTCAGAAACACATTGATCCGGGGGTGCCTTGGTGGCTCAGTAAGTTAACCATCAACTCTTGGTTTCGGTTCAGGTCACAATCTCATGGTTCCTGAGATCAAGTCCCAAGCTGGATGCCACGCTGATAGTGTGGCACCTGCTTGGGATTCTTTCTCTTCCTCCTCTCTCTCTCCCTCCACTTCACCAATGTGTGTGTGTGTGTGTGTGTGTGCGCGCGCTCTCTCTCTCTCTCTCTCAAAATAAATAAACAAACAAAAAAGGAAACACCTGGGTTGGAATCTTACTCCACCACCTACACACTGAGCGACCTTAGGCAATTTGCTAACTTCTCTGAGAGTCAGTTTCATGCAGAAATCACAGGGCTTTTCTGGAGGCGAAGACCTGCCCACGAGACATGCCCCTCACGAAGGACCTCTGCCCTCTGTCCCCCGGGAAGAGGAGAAGAGGAAGCACAAGAAAAAGCACCTGGCGCGGCGCCCCAACTCCTACGTCATGGACGTGAAGTGCCCAGGACGCTACAAAATCACCACCATCTCCAGCCATGCACAGATGGTAGTGTTGTTTGCTGGCTGCTCCACTGTCCTCTGCTCCTTACAGAACAAGCAGGGCTTACGGAAGGACGTTCTTTCAGACAGAAGCACCACTAAAAGCCCCTGAATCAAGATGAGTGGGAAACTATCCCAATAAGCAGATTTGGGATTTAAAAAGAAGGAAAGAAAGAAAGAAGAGACAAGAGAAGAACTCACAGGGCTGCAATGAGGAGGGGGTAAGGCGACTGACAAAGAGGGCCCTGAGCCGATGCCTGGCCAGATGGCTCTGAACCCAGGTGTGTGACCCTGGCAGCTTCATTCTTCCATCTATTTATTTGTTGATCCATTTGGCTAACGCCAGATGGAGACAGCGGCTGGTGAGCACGGCAGTTTCTAGATAAAGTTTTTTTCTCATCCCCTTCTTTCCCTAGAAGAGGGAAATGACCTCCAAATAGGGCCAAATGGGACCACCCATCACACGAGTGGGAAAACTATACAGAATTTCAGAGCCATCAAAGGGTAGGGGGCTGAACCGCAGGAAGGGGCCAAACGGAGCAGGCCTTGAATGACAGAAAAGAGGTCAATAGGCAACAGGAAAATCACTTAAATCTTTTGATCAGAAGTCACTTTGATGTTTACATATTTAAATTGTGCCTAGAGTTCTTGAAAGATGCAAGATGGGAGGCTGTTGCAACAGTCTGGGCAAGAAGAGTGGGCTGGAGATGTGTAGGTGAGAGCGTTGCCCCCAAAGCTGTAAGAGAAAGCACAGCACGGGCACCCTGCACCCAGACTGGCCTGCTCGGGCCCCACCTTGCTCACACCTTGGCCATGTCTGATTTCTCCACCTTTGTCCACGAACCTGCCACCTGCTTCTGCCCCGACTCTGTCCTCGGCCCCCCTTTCCCCTACATCCCAGCTTTTGCTTCACCCCTTTGATTTGTCTGCTCCCTCCTGGCTTAGTTCCTGCGGGGCACTGATCAGCGCCAGCCCTTCTGACTCAGCCCAGAGTGCCACCAACATCACGTGAGTGAAGGCAGTGAAACAAAGGAAGCCTCCACCCGCTGCTCCCCAAGGGGAAGTGGGAACAGAAAAAGAAGAGGTTCAGGTGATGCTCCGGTGAAGGCAAGTGCATAGGATGTGGCAGCTGCCTGGATATTGGGGCTTCTGGTCCATGTAGGAGGGTGGTGCAGTAGGGACAGAATGGAGCTGATGTGGGGGGAGGACTTTGAGTCTGACATGCCAGGGAGATGTCCAGGTGCAAATGGACCCACAAGGCTTCCAAAGATGAAACTAGGGCCCAGGGACGGCTCAGAGCTGGGGAGACAGACGTGGGGAATCAACTGGCATAACTACACTGACTGGTTTGTGGGTAGCAGGCACTTGGTGAGTATTATCTCATTTAATCCGAACCACAACCCAAGTGAAGGCAATGTTTTCACTTCATCACTGAGGAAACCGAGGCACAGTGGGGTGAAGCGTTCTGTCCGAGGCCACACGGTTAGCAGGTGGCAACCATAGGACTCGAACCTAGGCTTTGACTCTGAGGTCATTTCTAAGCCAAAGGGTGGCTTGGACCCCCAAAAACTAGTTCCACAGCCAAGCCAGAGGTGGCAGGTGTGGGGGGGCCAGCAGATGCCCCGGAGCAGGGCAGGCAGGTCAGAGCTGGGGAAGAAACAGCCCAGGGAGAGCAAAGGAGGAAAAAATGCAGAGAGCTCAGGAAGGGGCCTCCTGACTTCAGGCACTGGCCACATACCTTCCATGAGTCTGTCTGTCATTTGTGAGCTGGGAACTATTATTGGCATCCTACAGATGCAAGGATATGAGGATCTGAGAAGTCAGGTGACTTGCCCTAGGTCACACACCCTGTGCCTGGCGAAGCCCAGATTCAAACAGGAGCCTTTTGACTCCAGAGCCTGGCCCCTGTCGTCATGCACAGGGCCTCCTTAGCGACAACACCCCCACCCCAGGCGGAATCACTGAGCTCCAGACCCTTCCCCCACCTGCGGCACAAACGACCGGACTTTGCCTCCCCTCCTCCTAGCCTGCTATGTAGGGGCAAAGTCCGGGGCTGCTCCCCAGACTCGGCCTCCTCCAGACTACCCTGACCTTTCCTTTCCTGGGGCTCTGGCCCCTTTCTGCCCCCAAACTCATTGGGGATCATAGAAAGAGAAAGAAGGGTGAGAAGTGGACTTCTGGAGACAGTAGAAGAGCTTGGGGTTCAGAAAGGTTGGAGGGTGATGGGGGAGGGCAGAGAGTAGTTGGGAGGGAGGAGAAGGCGGTTGAGGGGGGTAAGGGACTGAGATTTGTTGGGATGGGGAGGGAGGCAGGAGAGGGGACGTGGTGAGGCACGGACAGGGAAGAGAGGCCTGGGAGTCTCCTTTACCTTCAGGGTCCATGACTGCTTGGAGCTGCAGAGCTGGTGTGTACAATGCTCAGATCCCGCTTCTTGGAGGCCCCAGAAGGGGTGGGGCTGCCAGACAAAGGAGGAAGGGGCTGGTCCAGCCAGCCCTTCCCAAGTGCTCTGGGGCTCCCGCCTGCCCTCTCCCAGGACCCCTGGGGCTGCACATACCTTCTTCCACTTTCTACTGGACTGGAAGAGCTCTTGCTTGTGTAACTCAGAAGTCCTCTCCTCTCGGAGCCAGGCACCCAGTTCCCTCCGCACACCCAACCTTCCCCAGGCTGTGAGGCTGCTGGTGACAGCTGGAAAGCTTCTTTGAGGAGTGCACTGGGAAAATCATGGGTTTGAGTCCTAGGTTCAGATCCTAATTCCCTCCTAACTCCCAATGCCTTTTACTTTTTTCTGCCCCTCAGTTTCCTTGGTTCTAAAATGGGATCATTCCTCCCGGTGAGTTCAACTGATAATCCAGGGAGAAAACTCTGCAGGTGACACAGAGCACAAAATCAACCCTTGCCTTCCTTGCCCTCCCCTTCCCGAAGTCTGTTTTTCACCTCGAACCTTGCTTGCCTCACTCTAGTCCGGGCCTCCAAACTATTTTCTCCTAGATGCCATTTTTATTCCTGCTTCTCTTTTAAAGGCTCTTTGCGGCCTCCTGCAAGTCCTTCATCCTACGTCCAACCCTCACATTTTGGTGTTCTCTAGGTGCGGTGGGACTGCTTCTCTTTTCTTCCTCAGCACAAGGCTAAACTACATTTCCCAGCCTCCTTTGCACTGAGGCCACTACCTGACTGAATTCTATCCAGTGGAAAATGAGCACAAGTGGTACCACCCCTTCCAGACCTGGCCCTTGAAAGACTTCCCATGATGCTGACCTCTCTCTCCCCGCTGGGAGTGACAGGGTCACAAAATGGAAGGAACCGGGGCCCCTGAATGACCTTACGGAAGGTCACCTTCCAATGCCAGCACTGAAATGTCACAGAAGCAAGGAAAAAAACATCTCTGGAGTTACACTCGAGATTTGGGGGCTGTTTGTTAGCCTGGCCTGACACCACAGCTCCCTTTTCATGCTGCACAGCGAGTGACATAGTTTATGCATTTGTCCATCTGTGCCATTATTTAAATTGCTATCTAAAGTCACATGACTCTCAGGGCGCCTGGCTGGCCCAGTCAGTAAAGCATGCAATACTTAATCTTGGGGTTGTGAGATCAAACCCCACGTTGATCAGAGATTACTTAAAAATAAGATCTTAGGGGCACTTGCATGGCTCAGTCAGTTGAGCCAGTCAGTTGACTCTTGATATTGGCTCAGGTTGTGATCTCGTTGTCATGGGATCAAGCTCCATGTTGGGCTCTGCATTGACAGCATGGAGCCTGCTTGGGATTCTCTCTCTCCCTTCTGTCTGCACCCCCCACCGACTCTCAAAATGAAGAAACATTTTAAAAAATTAAAAAATAAAATCTTTTAAAAAATATATAAGATATATATTAAATAAATATATATGTATATAATAAAATACTGAAGGGCACCCAGGTGGCTCAGTCAATGAAGCATCTGACTTTGGCTCAGGTCATGATCTCGTGGTTTGTGAATTCGAGCCCTGCATTGGGCTCTGTGCTGACAGCTCAGAGCCTGGAGTCTGCTTTGGATTCTGTGTTTCCCTCTCTCTCTGGTCCTCCCTGCTCGCACTCTGTCTCAGTCTCTCTAAAAAATAAACATCAATCAATCAACCAATCAATCAATCAAATATTGAGATGACTCTCAAATCTCTCTCCAGCTCTGACTTCTCTCCAAGTTCTAAAAAATCAATTCATTATGTTCTCCCCCAAAACTGCTATTTCTCTGCATTTCCACATCTCCTCCACCTCCAAAGATAGAAACCTTGAACCCTAACCTCATTCTTCCCTCCATCACCCAATAGCCAATTAGTTCTAAAATCTGGTTTTCTGAATAAGTATATTTCACACCTGACCTATTTTCCCCCCTTAGGCCAGACCCCCACTATATCCAACTTGAACTAAAATAATGCTTTCACTTTGGGCTGCGCTCCCTTGAGGCCATCCTCCTGGATGCCAGGTTCACTCAAAAGACAGATCCAAGCTTGCCACAGGTTTCCTTAAAATCATCCTTTGTTCATTCACTAATTCATGTATCCCTCCATTCAGTAAATGCATATTAGGTAGCTACTGTGTGACAGGCTCTGGACTCTGGGATCACAAAGAGGACGTGTGGACTTGGAGGGGCTACACCCTGATGGGTGAGGGACACCTCCACAGCCCAGATGCAGCGCGGTCACACGAGGTGCTGTGAAAGAAACACTATGTCTGTTGGGGATGAAAGCAGCAAGGGCGGCTTCACAAAGGCAGTGACATTTGAGCTGCATCCTGACGGTTGAGGAGTTTGGCGAGAAATCAAGATGTGTGTGTCACGGGGAGGGCCGGGGGGTGGGCTGGCTTCAGGCAGAGCGCGTGCAAACCTAAAAGTGAGTCTGTGGCTCTCTTCATGGCCAGCCCTCGTGGGATGGATCTGGCTCATCATCCAGCAGGGCTATCCAGATGCCACAAGCTGGCCAGGCAGGTACTGAGCACCCTCGGGAAGGGGCAAGTGTCACTTCCCACCCTTCACAGGTTCTGCCTGCCGAACCGAACATGGTCCAGGGTCAGAAATGGGGATGCAGAGGACATGCAGGTGTAAATATCCATTTTCAGAAATGAAATATCCTGAGAAGCATGCATGGAGGCCCTTTTTCCTGTCTACAAAAATGAATTTCATTAATAGATTTCTCAAGACTTTCTCTATCTAAACCCTTTTACCATGTGGAATTTTCATTTGGTATGACACGGCTTTATTTCTAACCATAATCTTAATGTGCACTTTTGAGAATAAAATAGAAATGTATTTGAAAATATAAGATGAGGAGCGCCCTGGTGGCTTAGTCGGTTAGGCGTCCGTCTCTTCATCTCGGCCCAGGTCGTGTTCTCATGGTTCGTGGGTCAGGTTGACAGCACGGAATCTGCTTGGGATTCTCTCTCTTTCCCTCTCTCTCTGCCCCTCCCCCGCTCATGCTCCTGTACACTCTCTCTCTCAAAATAAATAAATAAGCTTTAAAAATGTAAAGAAAAGAGAAAATATAAGATGAAGTGTGTGTGTGTGTGTGTGTGTGTGTGTGTGTGTGTGTGTATGAATCCTGTTAGTAAGAAACTAGAATGTGCTGGTAATTGACTTTTTACTGTCTGGAAAAAATTAATATTTTTAACATCTTGAACTATACCCTCATATGCACATCACGAGAAACACAAGGCATATTCAGGGACCTCCAAGGAATTTGATGAGGCTGGAGGGCAGGAGGGCATAGAGTGTTTACACAAAGGGCTGACCAGGCAGGGCCAGATCTCAAAGGATCCTAACTTCATGACTCACTAGGAGATATCGAAAGGGTCTTATCTTCATGACTCACTAGGAGATATTAAAGGGGTCTTATCTTCATGGCCTCATTAGGAGGTGTTGACCTCATTAGGAGGGAATCTAGACCCTTGTAGAAGGGTCACTGGGACCATCATGGACAGTGGGTAGAAGTGACTATGGTCAAGAAACCCGAAGAGAACTCTAGGCAGGACCCAAGAAAGGTGTGTTGGAGCCTGGGTGAAGAAATCGCTCCAAAGGACCATGAAAGAAGAGTCAGGGGAACTTGGCACCCAAGAGGCAAAGATAGGAGGGAGTGGAGTTTGATGATGATTCTGAGAGGCCCTGGAAGAGTCTAGAACAGGCTTAGGTTTGGTGACCTCCCCACTGCTTTCAGAACTGAATTCAAACTCCCTAGTCCTTCACAGCGGGGCTCCAACCTGCCCTTCTAGCCTCATCTCCTTGAACTAGACACCCCATCCCCTCAGCGAACACCTGCCTGGTAATATTTTCTTTCTAATCGTAAAAGTGACAGGTATTTATTATATAAAACTGGGAAAATACAGACAAGTGGAAACAAAATAAGAATCATTCCTAAACCTATCACTTGACTGACAACCACAATGAACATTTGGGATATTTCCTTCAAGTCTTTTTTTCCACAAACGCCCGTGTTTTTGCATTTTCATTACAAACCTAGATTCAGACATATTTACAGGTGAGTAACTAGCTCTTTGTTCCCAAGTGACATTATATTGTAAGCATTTTATTGCATAGTTTTGGAGAACATGGCTTTTTGGCAACTATGACAAGTATAACAAGCCATTTACAAATATTTTCGTCCTTAATATGTTTGGCCCTTTCATTACCACACTTTATATTTCTCTCTTTTGTGTCTCTCTCCACCCCACTCCCCTCCCAGCCCCCTTTTGGTCTTCTAGTATCTGCCGCACGCATTCCAATGTGCATCATTAAATTAGTCACATGGTCCTTACGGTGTCTTTCTGCTTGCTGCCCCCTCTGCTAAGAGGGCTCTTCCCCACCTTTTCAGCCTGGCAAACACCTTCTCAGCCCCCCAAATCTCAGAGGAGTCCTCTCATGCATGCACAATGGCCACCTGGAACTTCGCCTCTTGTCTGGAGGCTCCTACCCTCCCCCAGCAGCGTATCACTCCCTTCTTCTGGTGGGCGCTCCTAAAATTTTGTTTGTACCTCTATTTGAATACTTTTCACATGTTGGGTGCCTTACCCATCCCACCCCATTTCCTACAAGATCGGCCCAGGACCCAGAACCCAGTAATAGTTCAGAAAAATGATTGTGTGTGTCTATTAGGAAGGGGTGGAGCTGATGGCCTCGAAGTTCAGTGACAGTCTTTTCCAAACCTGATATTGGGGCGCTTGGTGTGGCAAATCTAAGACAATGGTTGTGATATGTCTCGGGGACTTTGAGGACTAAGGTTAGTCCAAATAGAAGCACAGGTGCACAAACCATGGTAGCCGAGTGGATCCGTGAACACTTTCTACCCCATCTTCTGTGACCACTTTCTGCCCCTTCTCTCCCCTCTCCTCCGAACCACAAGAACAGACACACCCCTGAACTGTTCCCCTACCCTCGAGGTCAGGCCACAGGCAGTCACACACTCGACCTTCCCAAGGGCCTCTCTTTCTGTAGGTCAACCTGTCTCCTCTCAGCCACTGCACCCTCTGACTCAACAACTTCCTCTTTGCAAATTTCCTCTTTGTCCTGGGGAAATACCAACTGCCTCTGGCGCGTGTGGCCCCTTGGGCTCTGGCTTGGGGTCGGGTCTTCCCCCCACCCCTCACTCCCACCCCACCCAGCGCAGCTAACCATCCCATCCCAGAGCCATAGGGGAAGTTCCCGGTTCTCTGGGCCTGTCAGTCTCACGGATTCCCCTCAGAGAAGGGAAGGAGCTCACCCCCCAGTGGAAGAGGAGATACAAACACATTAAACGAGGGGCGCCTGAGTGGCTCAGTTGGTTGAGTGTTCTTGTCTCTCGATTTTGGCTCAGGTCATGATCTCACGCTTCATGGGTTTGAGCCCTGCACTGGGCTAGTGCTGACAGTGCAGAGCCGGCTTGGAATTCTCTCTTTCTCCCTCTGTCTCTGCCCATCCTGCTCCCTCTATCTCTCTCTCAGAATAAATAAACATTAAAATAAATAAATAGGAGGCTGCCTGGGTGGCTCAGTCGGTTAAGCGTCCGACTTTGGCTCAGGTCATGATCTCACAGTGCGTGGGTTTGAGCCCCACGTCGGGCTCTGTGCTGACAGCTAGCTCAGAGCCTGGAGCCTGTTTCAGATTCTGTGTCTCCCTCTCTCTCTGACCCTCCCCTGCTCATGCTGTCTGTCTGTCTCTCTCTCAGAAATAAATAAGACATTAAAAACATTTTTTAATAAAATAAATAAGGACACCTGGGTGGCTCAGCTGGTCGGACTCTTGATTTCAACTCAGGTCATGATCTCACAGTTTTGTGAGTTCAAGCCCCATGTTGGGCTCTGTGCTGACCATGAGGAGCTTGCTTGGGATTTTCTCTCTCTCTCTCACAACTAAATAAATAAATAGTAAAAATTTAAAATCTACATTAAACGGGTAACAGCAATGCCCCCCACCCCCTGCACACTTCACCTCTCCTCTCCCCTGCCTTGAGAGCAATGGAGCTGGAGTAGGGGAGGCTCTGAGCACAGGGAAACAGCGGCTGAGCTGAAGAACCACACTCAGGTCACACATGCAGCCTATCAAGCCCCACACTCTTTATTGCGCTCCAGACACAGCTAAATCTTCTGCCGCCTCCACCTCACCTGAACACAGATGAGGACACAGATGTTCTCAGGGGCTCCTCATGTTGGCAGCTCCTGTCCCCTCCTCCCACCGGCCCTACTCACCGCCACTTACACAAACACGGCCAAGGACTCGCCTCTTGCACCAAAACTGCACCCATGACAAGACCCAGGAAAGGGCCAGGTTTCTGAGGACCCTACCTGCCCTGGGGAGGAGAAGAAGCCGCAGCCTCAGTCCACAGGTGGGGCAAGTGTGGGCCAGGGGCCAGCCTAGCATCCGAGAGCACAGCTAGGTGATGCCACCCAGTCCCTGCACCAGTGGCCCGGCACAGAGTGCTGCGCCGTTACAGGAGGTTCATGGGCTGAGTCAGTAGGACTGTCCTAATCTACGGGTCCAAAAGTACTTTCTAGAGTAATCCTCAGCGGGAGTCTGCTGGGATGTCATGTCCATCTTCCTTCCTAGACTCCGGTGTCCCTGGGAAGTCCTCTGAGAAAGCATAGGTCAAGGAAGTTTGGCATTACAGAGACTCAGCAGCTGATTTCCAGGAGAGGGTGGTGGGGAGAAGTCAGGATTGATGAAGAGAGTTTGTTGGTTCAATGTGACAGCGCCCGGTAGTGTGGGTGCTGGCTGCGAGACCTGGGGTTGAGAAGCCAGATGAGGGTTCAGTAATAACATACCGGGTGAGGACCCAGAGGATGTGGCGTGACAAGGAAACTTGAGCTGATGATACAGAGAAGGTGATGAAGACTGAGAACGATTCTGACCTGCGCTCTTATTCTTCACGAGCACTGAGGGGCCTCCACATCTCCGGCCTCTGGCCCCTCGGAGGCAGGGGCGGGGGCCTCCACAGCTTCATCCTTGCTGCCCACCAGCGGCTCCTCCTCCTCCTTCAGGATGGGGGCCTGCCTCAGGTCCTCCAGCTCCAAGGAGCCCCGTTGTGACTTGCGTCTATCGAAGAAAGTGGTGAGTGCCGGCTGCCGGCCAGACCCTTCCCCCACAGAGACCCCAGTGCCCTTCCCGCCCCCAGCCCCTCCTGCCCCTGCTGTCAGGGCCTCCTCATCAGACACCTGGGCAGGCCCGGCCCAGGCATCTACCACCCCATTGCGCTTTCCTCCCCTGCTTAGTACCAGGGCCCCTGTCTTCCTCTTCTGCCGCCTGCGCCACAGCATGAGTAGGATCACAAGGAACACGACCACCCCCAGGGCCACAAACACAGCCAACAGCATGGTGTTATTCGTCCCTGAACCTAGTGGGGGATCCCCACTGCTTGTGTTTGTGAAGGCCTCTGGGGTAGAAATAGGGGATATTTCTACCCTGGAGATGGGGGACACACTGGGCCCCTTGGGGGTCGCCAGAAAGCCAGTTGATATGGTGAGAGGGGTTACACCGGCTACATCAGAGTTTTCCAGAGAGCCAGTCGTCATGGCGGCGGAGGGTCCCCTGGTTACATCGGAGGTTTCCAGAGAGCCAGTGGCCATGGCGGTGGGAGGTGAGCTGGTTACAACAGACTCCTCCAGAGAGCCGGTTACCATGGTTCCATTAGTCTCCATGCGCAGTTCTAGAGTGTCTTTTGGTGATTTGGCATTCATTTCCAGGTTTGAGGACTTGTTGGTGGCAACTTCCCCAGAGACCGATGGCTCAGGTCCATGGAGGTCACCGCTGGCAGCAGTGGAAGCCTCGGGAAGGACCACTTCATTGGCCGAATAGGAAGCTAAAGAAGGTGAGGAGATCTGGTGCCCGGTGCCACCACTCTCCTCAGGGACCCCTGCTGTTGCAGGATTGGGGGTCACCACTCTGAGGCCTGAGGCCCCAGAGACAGTTGGGACCAAAGAAAGAGAGGATTCTCTGGAGGCAGACATCTTCAGAGTGGTGTTCCCAAGCTCTGAGTTCATCCCTTGGGTCCAGATGCCCCCAAAAAGGAGGAGAAGCAGGATCATTTCCACGGCGACAGACCTGAGCAGGAGTGGCAACCTGAGGGTGGGGAAGTTGAACACCAACACATAAAGCACTGAGCGGGAGAACCTGGCCGGGCCCTCCTCCCCATCTGCCCACTTCCCTGCTAACTGCCAGGCCTAACTTGTGGTTTAACGGCTTTTTCCACCCTTGTTTTTACTATTATCAGAAATAGCAAGGGAGCAGATGCTGGCGGCTCTGCCATCAGCTCTAACCTACCGGCCCCCTGAGGCCCTGGCTGCTCGCACACCAGCAATGGCCAGCCCCCCGGCCCTCCCTGACCCTATTCAGCCCCAGTGGCTCCTGATCTTTTCCCATCATCTACCAGGCTTTTTTCGAGCCACAGCCCGTTCCCAGGTCCACGAAGTCTCCCGTCCCACCAGGCCACGCCCCCTACCTGCTCACTTGATGAGGACCAGGCCGCTCCAACTCCTCCTGAAGCTGGGGCAGGACTGGGCAGATGGGCCCCAGGGGGAAAGGAAGTGGCCCTGGCTCCACCCACCCCACCCCAGCATCCTGCCCCACCCTCCCTGCTCCCACAGCTGCTGTGCGATGACAGCTCCATCACTTGCTCTTTCTGGGGTCTGAGATGATGCCGGGGCTCTGGGGTCTTGGCCGAGGCAAGTGGGGTTGTGGCGGGTGGGGAGGTCTGGAATGGGGACTTCGCTGAGAACTGGGTCGGCGAAGGGTGAGGCTGGGCCAGGGATAAGGGTCAGAGCTGGGGTGATGCAAAGTCGTGCTTGAGAACAAGGGATGCGGAGGAGGACATGGGTGGGGGGGGGGGTGGCTTCCTTTGCATTTGTGGTTCCCAAGTTGTTAGGCCCAAACCCAGGGTAGCACCCTTTCCTGCCCCGAGAGCTCCCCGGAACTACCTCGGCTCTGGGTGGGGACCTCAAGAGCCTGTGCAGGCTGCGTACAATCCCTTGTGGGCTCTTGACGATGGTCTCAAGAAGCTGGGGAGCCACCATGATGGTTCCCAGTTGTGGGGTGCTTAACTAGACCAAGGTGGTTACTAAGCACTCATACATTATGATTTTATTTTGGGGGAAAACTAATAAAGATGTGGGAATCTATATGGAAAACAGTCTGGAGAAATATCTACTGAGGCATTAACCAATTTTCTTTGGATAGGTATGAGTAGGGGGTTCGTTATTTTCTTTGGATAGTTGCTGTTTCCTGAATTTCCTTTAATTGTTTTCTTTTCCCTCCTACTCTTTCTTCTTTTTCTATGTGTATACACGTATTCTTTCACTTCTTTTATTTAGTTATGTGTTTCTTTGTTTGTTTCTCTCTTCTAATTTGTAAGCTTTGATTTTCTGCATGAGTCTGGTTTTGTTTTTTGCCTTTCTTTAAAAAAAAAAAATCAAAACCAGAGGCGCCTGGGTGGCTCAGTTGGTTAAACATCTGACTGGCTCAGGTCATGATCTCACGGTTCATGAGTTCGAGCCCCCGCGTCGGGCTTTGTGCTGACAGCTCAGAGCCTAGAGCCTGCTTTTGGATTCTGTGTCTCCCTCACCTTCTGCCCCTCTCCCTTAGTGCTCTGTCTCTTTCTGTCTCAAAAATAAATAAATATTTTAAACAATCCAAACCAAGTTTTTGTTTTTTGTTTTCTGTTTTTGAGAGAGAGCATGCATTAGCAGTGTAGACAGGCAGAGGGAGAGAGAATCCCAAGAAGACCCCACTTTCAGCGGGGAGCCCTACACGGAGCTCAATTCAATGACCCTGGGACCTGAGCCAAAATCAAGAGTCAGACCTTCAACTCACTAAGCAACCCAGGTGACCCCAAACTGATTTTTATATTGTAAAAGTAATAGTATATGTACGTGATAAGTGATTGAACAGGTCAGTGTCAAGGCTTGCGGTTATACCCCACTCACAAGCTAACAAGTTTGTCTGACGCAGATACATGAGACACCTGGGTCCCAAACAGGGGAATCCATTACTCACAGCAGAGTAAACAAGAGCATAATGTTTGCATCAGTTCCCCTCGCCCCCAAGTCTCGCAAGGGTGACACACAGGGGCTTGCCCTGCAGCTAAGGAACTCTGAGCTTGGGGCATTTCCCTCTATTTGAACAGGTGGTAAGCAGCCTTCTCTTCAGGGAGACATTACTGTGTCCCTCAGTTACTCAGCCTGAGAACAGCCGGAGAAATGGCCTGAATATAGAGCAGCTGGGACCTGTGTTCTTGGCATGTGAGCAGGAGTGTGCAGGGATGCTCAGGGCCCTGGAGGATTGCCTCTCCCGACAGTCAGGAGAACTTAAGGAGGAAAAGCTTCAAACTCTGCCACCGGGTAAACATTCACAGCAAAGTTGTGTGTTACATCTGTTCTTATGCAAAAGCATATACGCATGTGTTTCATCATATTACATTTTATTGTACATACTGTTCTGCACTTAACTGAATAGAAGAAAAAAGGAAACAAGAACGAAAGAGAAAAAAGAAGAAGAGAAACCATTCCATTGTCAGACATTTAGGTTATTTTAACATTTTACTACGGCAAACAGAAAAGTACAAATAATTGGCTGAAAAGTAATTGGAGGTTAAATTTTTTTAAGTTGATTTCTTTATTTTGAGAGACAGAAAACACGGCGAGGGAGGGGCAGGGAGAGAGGGAGAGAGAATCCCAAGCAGACTCCGCATGGTCAGCACAGAACCTGACACGGGGCTCAAACTCACGAAACGTGAGATCATGAACTGAGCCGAAACCCAGAGTCGGTGGCTTAACTGACAGAACCACCCAGGTGCCCAGGTCAAAAAAAAATTTTTTTTAATTCTAAAAGTCAATCAAAATATTTGTTAGGCTGCACAGAGATTCCCAATTTCCCAATCTTTAAAAAAATTACTGAAGCAAAATGCATTTTTGACAAAAATGTCCTTTCAACCAAATTGCTGCTGACAAAGTTGTATGTTCCCCAGGCTCTATATGGGGCCCCAATTCTGGGGAGAGAAGAGAGAATAAGGATGGGTCCAGGCTCTAGCCTGACACTCCTAAAGAAATAGGGGCCTATCAGGGAGCCTGGGTGGCTCAGTCAGTTAAATGTCCGACTTCAGCTCAGGTCATGATCTCACGGTTAGTAGGTTCGAGCCCCACGTCGGGCTCCATGCTGACAGCTAGCTTAGAGCCTGGAGCCTGCTTCAGATTCTGTGTCTCCCTCTCTCTCTGACCCTCCCCTGTTCTCTCTCTCTCTCTAAGAAATAAATAAAACATAAAATAATAATTAAAAAAAAAAAGAAATAGGGACCTATCTGCACAGACTGTAGACCCTGGGATGGAAGGAGAGATAATGAAAATGTGAAAACGACATCACAGAAGAGCAATACTTAGAAAACTCTGGAAGCAGCAGTCTGCCAGGTACAGAACCAAAGGTTCTCTGTGCATGGTTCCAGCTGCTCCTCACAAGAAGCCCATTTTACAGGTGAGAAGGCCAAGTACAGAGAGATTGAGTAAGTAACTTGTCCTAGGTTACTTCACATTTACATAGTATTTACTCTTCACAACAACCCTGTGAGACACATGTCATCACCCTAATTCTACAAGTGAAGAAACTAAGAAACAAAAGAGTTCAGAGACTTGTCAAGGGTCAGACAACCGGCAAGTGCTTAGAGATGAGCTTCAAAACCGGGTTGGTCTAAGGACTCAAGGCCAAGGATAAGGATCACCAGGTAGAACCAGGGTCGGAAATTTAACTACTGTGCTACATTTAAAGACATGTTTGGGTACAAAAGATTCAAATAATAGAATGCATGCTAAAATAAGGGCTAGATTTAGTCCTAGGAAGTGTCTAGGAAGAGTTCAGAGAAGCGATGTCTTCAAAAGCAGAAGGGAATGGGGACTCCGCTCCTTCCTTTATTTATTTATTTTTTTAAATATATTTATTTATTTCTAGGAGAGAGAGAGAGACAGCTGAGCAGGGGAGGGTCAGAGAGAGAGGGAGACACAGACTGAAACAGGCTCCAGGCTCTGAGCTGGCAGTCAGCACAGAGCCCGACGCGGGGCTCGAACCCACGAACCGCGAGATCATGGCCTAAGCGAAAGTCGGACGCTTAACCGACTCAGCCCCCCAGGCGCCCCCCACTCCTTCCTTTATACCCTACATCTAACCTGTCTGTACATCCTGCTATCTCTACCTTCAAAATGGGGTCAGCACCTGAAACCCAGATCTTGGCTTCTAACTACCACTCCCTTTGGAAAGGAATCAGGGCTCCTAGGATAACAGCTGATTCCAGAGCCAGGGCAGGGAAAGTACAAGGTGAGCCTGGGATATCTCGTTGCATCAGGAAGTAGGAAATGCTCAAATAATGAGGAACATGTCAAAATGACAAGGAACTAGCTTAAAAGGGTTTCCCCAGGGCCAAAGCAGAGACATGTTGCACATCAAAATGAAAAACTGTAGTGATCGATTAATGCACTGAATAAAGAACCCATGAGTTCATATGGCTGCTGAAAATATTAGAGAGACANTGCAATTTTCTATGAAATGCATCCCTAAAATAAGATTGGTTGATGGATAGATAGATACATGATAAACCAAATACAGCTAAATCCTCTTTGTACAAGGTACATGGTGAGTACACAGATGTTCACTGTATAATTCTTTCAACTCATCTGTGTGTTTAAAAATTTGTCATAGGGGCGTCTGGGTGGCTCAGTCGGTTAAGCATCCAACTTCGGCTCAGGTCATGATCTCATGGTTCGTGGGTTCGAGCCCCGTGTCGGGCTCTGTGCTGATAGCTAGCACAGAGCCTGGAGCCTGTTTCAGATTCTGTGTCTCCCTCTCTCTCTGACCCTCCCCTGCTCATGCTGTCTCTCTCTCTCTCTCTCAGAAATAAATAAAACATTAAAAAATAATAATAATAAGTAAAAAATAAAAATGACCAATTTACAGCTACCATATAATTGATTCAAGTAAGAATGAAATGTTGAGTAAAATTGTGGCAGCAGAGGAGGGGTGCATATATGCTATTTTTACAGGCTTAAAATATCTCCCCACAAGATATATATGTATTACGAAGGAAAATTAGCAGCTTCACGGTGGAAAAATCTAGCAGACATCATCTTAGCCAAGTGATCACACTTTTTTTTTAAAGATATTATTTTTAAGTAATCTCTACACCCAACACAGGGCTGAAACTCACAACGCCAAGATCAAGAGTCGCATGCTCCACTGACTGAGCCAGCCAGATGCTCCAACCAAGTGATCAAACTTAACATCACCAGCCATGGGGCAAACCTACGTAAGGAGTCTCCAGATATGGTACACTGAGAAGGACACAAAATCACATCTGTGGTAGTCCCAGCAACAATGCAGAACCTGATTGTTAAATATCAGGCAAGGGGTGCCTGGCTAGCTCAGTCAGTTGAGTGTTCAACTTTTGATTTCGGTTCACGTCATGATCCCAGGGTCATGAGACAGAGCCCCACACCCAGCTCCTCTCTGA